GAGGGTAGGTAAGAGTGGGGATCTCAGTGTGTATGGAGAGACTCTGCAACCCTTGAAGCAACTGCCAATGAGCGTCGACACGACTGGGGGATTTACTTACAAAATTAGATCACTGATTAGCCTGGGAAAGAAAGAAGTGATGACTTTCTAAATATGTCTGTTCACACATGGCTTTTGATCTGTCTTTGCTGTTTCTTCATGCTCAAGGAATAAAATGTACCCAGAATCCCTCAGAGGAAGTGAATACAGTATACTGGAGGGATGTAGTAGTGTAGTGTTCTAACTAGGCTGCAATGTTCACTGTGATCAGTGCTTTAGAATAATCTGTCAGTCAATGTAAGTGTGCATATTTACACCAAGTATCATACACCTACTGTAGCACTCCAGTTTTAAATTTGCAGCTAACTCACTGTGTGTTATATTGGTTGGTAACTATATGTTAGAGATGTTTACCCTAATTTGTACTTTATTGGTATCTCACATTTTATTTTTGCAGTATTTGTAGCAGTTACCTCTGTGACAGCCTCACAAACTGATGCTTCTGTGATGCTGCTTGTAGAACTGCTGCTGCCGCTCTCTGCCAGCTGTCTCTGTCAGTCTGTCTCTTCTGTCCGTCACACCTCTCTCTTTCTCCCCTTCATCCCCAGTTACACTCCCTACATCGCTGAGGTCCCCAAGGTGCTCGACGGAGTCATATTTCTCCAAGTCGGAAGCGATGGTCTGCAGACTGAACACAGAGAGAGAATCCGACCCTGCACGCTCCCTCACCTTTCCATTCTCCTTCTCCTTGTATTTCTCCGCCAGGTGAAGGGCTGCATCCACTCGATCTTTCCCTGTCAAACCACTGCTGCAGGCACCACCTTCTTCCTGAACTTTGGTGTTGGATTCAGCTCCAACCGGGGGACTTCGCCCACCGCAGACAGTGAGGCATCCTCTGTCAGCCTGGTCCCTCTCCCTCTGAGCATGGATCTGCTCGCTGATTTGCTCCAAGTTTCGTAGGGCAATGGAGTAGCTGGTCTTAACTTTGGCTACTTGTTGTTCCAGCTGCAGCACTTTAGCCTTGTGTTCCTGGAGTCACACACAGAGGGCACAGCAACTTTCATCATCAATTTTAACATTGACTTTATGCCAAAATAATCTGCCAGCGACATCTAGTCGATCTATCGTGACACAGAATACATTACAGCATTTTATGCCAAGTCAGCAGCATATTTACAACTCAACTACACAAACAGAACTGAATTCCCCTTGTGAGACTGGGAAACACTGTGATACACTGCACAGAACATAATCTATGTGCTTATGGTTTCACAATAATATTACTGGTCCCTGTGTATCTATGTTACCTCCAGTATGTGGTTAAATTGAGCTTTGAGCTCAAAGTAGGGTTTGGATTTCAGGATGACTCTTTTGAGGGACTTTTGCAGCATCTGAACCCGAGCCTCAGCCTCCTGGCAGGCATGTGTGACGCGCATGTGCTCCCTCTCACTGCGGAGTCGCTCCTCCTCAGCTTCGTTCACCTGTAAATGACAAGCAGGACATGCAGTAAAACCTTTCAAGTAAAGTAATTTATTCAAAAAGCCTGTTCCACAATTATAATATTGCAGAGAAGTGATAGCTTCAATTGCTATGCTCTCATCCACCATCAGCATGTTGCAACACAACCTTAGAACGCCCGTGAGGCCAGCAGCAAATCGTTACAAAGAACCTAAAATGAAAAATGTCTGTGTTTAGCCCAAGTGTTTCACCTTATTAGTCATGTAAAACTGAGCAAATTCTCCTTGGCTTTCTGGCTGAGACGCAGCCCCCACTCCCACAGCAACCCCTCCTGCCTCTACCAGCTGTACAGTCAATCCATATTATCATTAAGAGAGAATGATAAAAAATGAAAACTACATATTAAAATAACTAATATTTTTAGGAGACGTACACAGTAGTAGTAGTAGTATTAAAAATTACAACCACACCCTTCCCTGATTATAGCACCACTGTCTTATAGTATACATTCCTCCTCTTTTTCATTACCTTGGCAGTAGCATGGTTTAGCATCTCCTGCCAGGTGGGATCCAGGGTATTTTTGCCATCAGCCATCAGGCCCTGCTCGGCCACATAGACCATCTCCCTGGCAGCTGTGTGCATAGAAACCGCTCTCTCATAGCTCAAAGCTGCCTTCTGGGTCTCCTGCTGCGCCTGCAGAGAACAGACAAATGTTTAACATCTAACAGAACGGAAATATGAGGACATGTCCCCTGGTTCTGTCAGAACCAGGGGACAGAACAATCAGTTCTCTGTCAAATTGTAGCTTTTGATTTAAAGTGTTCTCAGTTTGATGAAGTTAACCATCATTCCAATAAAAGGCAAGCAAAGGAATACCATGAAATGCCTTTCAAATACTTTTACAATTTCCCATGAGGCACATCACACAGCGTTTCCGTGGAAACAAAATAAGCACCTTGTGTCCAGATTGCGTGTAGGCCTTAAAACCAATTAAGACAGTCTGCAGGTCACACCTGGCATTAGAATGGACTTCACATGCATATTTAATGACCAACTGTGATCAGATTTTTCTTCCCTGCTCAGATTTACTTCTACATGTTGAAAACAGCGATCACTTCAACTGCAGAGGACAAAATTAATGAAAGACAGAAATGAAGGTCAGACAGCGAAAAACATCTTGTTGTAAATCAACACAACCCAAGATTTATTTTAGTGCTAAACAAGAATAAGGTCTGCTTGCAGGTCCAAACATAGTCAGTGAAATAAAATTCGCTTTGTTGCATGTTTGTATTTGGTTTACGATGATTCCCACTGGCAAACAGAACAGCAGAACAACCTCGATCTGGTAGGGATTAAGTGCCTGGTCTAAGGACACTTCAGAAGGCCTTGATTACACTGAGGTTAGGAATTAAGCACCATGGTAAACAGCATCTGCCTAGGTAATAAACTTACTCAAGTATTGTAAACTCTTGCACCTCAATATAGCAAACTGTATTTCTGAAAGAAGATTTCGCACAGCCCTGTGATAGACTGCCGACCTGTCCAGGGTGTACCCCATCTCTTGCCCAATGTCAGATGGGATTTGCTCCAGCCCTCCCACCCCCCGACGACCTTATTCAGGAATAAGTGGTATAGATAATGGATGGATGGATTTCACACATGTAAACATTTTTAGACACGTTGTTTGCATGTACCTCTTTTGCAAGGCGACGGGCTTCATAGTACGGCCTAGCTTTCTCTATGCAGCTACCAAGCTGAGAGCTCTGAGCATTTAACTTCCTGGCAGACTCCGTGAGGATCTTCCGGTACCCTGATCTGGCATCCTGGATGGTTAATGCATGAAAATGACAAGATTAGATTTACCTGTAATGGAATGATTGATTAGATTTCATACAGACATGTGGCTGGAAGTGAGCAATCAATTGGCAAACTATGAGCACAAATGCATTTTCCATTTTAACTTCTCCAGATCTTATGTTTACAAGATATTAAAAACAAAATTATCATATTGATTAAAATCTTCTGGGTAGACTAATAAAATATTTAGAAACAGACACATACTCTCATTGACAAGAGTGATGGTAATGGGACCAAAGTGCATGTTTTACTTCAACATATGCTTTTTTTTTTACTTACATCCAACTGCAGCTCGAGTCTGTTGATTTCTGCACTGGCTTCATTGAGGTGCTCCAACTCATCCTGTGGGGAAAAAGAAAAATAGTGTACTGCATGAGGCTCTTTGAAACTACAAAAAATAATCTGACATCACCTTATTTCAGCCCCCTATTCAACCTCTATAAGTAACTAGCTATAGCAAACAGCTAGGACATCTGAAAGTGAATATGATGCACTATATGTCAACAATTGTAACTTTTATCAATACATGTTTTTTATTATTACTGTTTTCTTACAATATTGTCATTCATTAGTTGTGTAAGGGTGTATGCATATCCGCCCGAGGAACTGTATTTGCTGACAAGTACATTAATAAACATATCTACTTAGAACTACATTATTGTGTGTTATAAACCACTTATTAAATGTTCATATACAACTAATAAACACTAAACAGGGAACTGAAGTGTATAAATTGCGTATTGTAACTCATACAATCTCAGAGAAATTAGCACCAGCTTGTATTTCATGTACAAATGTAATAAAGCTACTATTAATTGAGTGCAATGGCAATGCAATAAGGCACAAACTGAAACAAAATGTATTTGACAGGTATATTGCGGTAAAATATATATGAAGGTGACATTATTCAAAAAAGAAAAGCATGAAAGAAAACTATATAGTGCAGGGGGTACAATAGAGATAATGCAAAACAAAGCAAGTTAAAATAACATATTTCCCTGCAGATCCTGGCCTTTACCAAATCATTACAACAGCAGATTGCAGTGCCTCGGCTACACTACTACCCAAAAGTTGCAACATGCAGACAAAATATTAAATACAGCGAAGCATAGTTCCTCCTTCCATGTCGTTAAAATAGTTTTTCAAGTTTAGATCTGGTGTTATAGCTATGTTACTCTCTGGTACGTTCTAATACCTGTAAGTTTTTAAATTAAACTTTGAACGTTTTAATTCCTTTTAAAGAAGTTTGATGAGGAATCTAAATTCAATTCTTTTTAGATTTTTCAAGATCCTGCTCTAAAAGAGTCCGCTATTGTTTAAAAATATGTTCACAGAAACCACATGCAAAGTCAACTGACGACAGTCAGTCATTAAAAACCTAGCTGTTTATGCATCTACCTAGTTTAACGTCATGTCCTTAACAGGCCACTAGCAAAGCAAACATCAGTCGTTGTTTGTCATACCTGGATCCTGGGGTCCAGTTCTTCCTCGTAGGGACTGTGCAATTGCCCTCCCACACTTTTTTGTTTTTCATTTTCATCTTCCTCGCAGGTGTCGGTTTGTAGTTTTGTTCCATTATTTTCGGTAGCTTTGACCTCATCACCACCAGGAATAACCTCCCTCCAATCCCCCGTATCTGACTCCCCGGACCCGGCGGGGCTCTCCCTCAAGTCGCCTGGCTCCATTCCAGGCCAGACAGTTTCGTTAGCTACAGCCTAATAGCTAAGATTGCTTTAACAGCGTGATGGCTAACGTTGGTTTACTATCGTATAAACCCGGTCCTATTAACAACAATCGAGCGGGGATAAATTAGAGAAATCCCAGCGCTGGTGAGCGGATTTTTCAATGTGCCATATCAAATTACACCGAAACAAAATCCACTGACGTTAGCTTAGCCTGCAGCCTAGCAGGCTAACGCAGTCAATGAAATAAGTTGTTTCACAGTGAACAGGTTATAAAAAGAAATGTTATCATGAGATGAAAAATAAAATGGGGTCCATCAATGTGTCTCCCCCATCACACGCCCTTTTTCCTCCATCTCTTACCGGTTCTTCATTATTTTAGCTAGGCTAGGCTAGGCTAGCTAGCGGATTCGATTTCACATCATTATTGCAAATGAAGTAAACAAACGATCAGACGCGCTACAGCATATGTGCCCAGGCGGCCACCGTAGACAACCAACACCGTCACTGATGCAAAGTGGAGCAAACCATAGCTTATGAAACAAACTATAAGCCGTCATAAGCGGCTAGTGCAGCTTTGGGCAAAGTGTTTGTAATGCGCCATGATTGTCACTACCTTTTTAGAATTCAAATGTTTATTAGCACTGTAGTCCGCCCCAAGTATCTTTACAATAATCGTAATCCACATATCACGTCCACAAGTTGGATATATTGTTTTCTTAAGTACATGCACCCCCTGCAATAGGTTTTCTCCAAATATTTTTATATAGAAAAACAGAGAGAACATAGTTTTGTAAAAGCCAACTCAATTAAGTAACTATTAAGGCAAAATTGTGTATTGTTTTTATTCCAAATATATACAAACACAAATGTTGTAGATTACAAGTTAACATACCTGTAGGGAGTACAACAATGGAGATCACTAGACAAAATTATTTGACATTAAAGTGTAAGCAGGAAGAACTGATTTGCATAGTGGACAAAACCAATGAAAATCTAAATCAATTATACTGTGATTATGACCAGTCACTGATGCCATAAGCAACCATACCACAGATTCAAATAGTTATATAACAGTTCATATTGGCTAACGGAAATCGCAAATAATTTAAACAAAAAGTGGCAACCTAGGTAATTGCATTGAATGCATTGATGAATGTCATGTGCACAGTTAGCATCATATAAAAACAGCTCTCTGGTGAGTTACAGCAGGCTGTATCTACACTGTAAGAAAAGTTTTGGAATAATGAGAAAGACCTGAGTGACACTGGCAAAAATCCCTACACCAGAAAGAGGGACCAATCTTCATTAACAATAAAGTAGAGTACATATAATTCAAGCAAAGAGAAACTTTAAGGGCATCAGTCTTTGGTCTGAACACTCTCCACAGGTGATGTGGAGATTACAAAAAGGCTACTGCACATAGGTTTTCTAAACGATTATCAGCTCCAGCTGGGGTCATACTGGGTCCATCCTGGAGGAGGGGCTAAGTAGATTCTCCTTCCTCTTGAGATAAAACTGACAACCCCTCTGTATCCTGCCCTTGGGACTCCAGACTTCAAGTCATCCATGATCCCCAGGTTTTTGGCAAGCATTTTGAAACTCTCCTTACTTGAGTATTGAAGGCGGAAGGGCCCGGGGCCTTTTAGTTGCCCCTGCTTTACATCTTCATATGTAGCCAGGGCAGCACTGTAAACCTCCTTCTCAAAATTTTCTCTGTAGGTTTCCTCCTTCAAGTAACTCAGGTCTAACTTGGTGAAAGGCACAAATTCAGTATTCAGTTTAATATAACGTAGGTACCTGTCATAAAACTGACCCTGGCTCACACCTTGCCTGCCGAAGGTTAAAGTGCGCGAGATCTCCGGGCGGATGCAGGCACGGTCACGCCGCTGCTCTGGCTGACGCATCCAGTCATCCCAGAATGAAGCGGGCCACTTTGGCTCCAGCTCCTCCCACACCTCCCTGACAAGCATCCATCCAAGACCGGGAAAGAAATCAGTCCGGTAGAGCAGGTTGGCTTTGCCAGGATCCACATAGCCCTCCCTACCGTTGTCATTCCAGGCTGACACACACCACAAACTGGGGTCAGATTTCAGGAGTGGCAGCAATGCTCGGAAGTACTCAAAGAAGTCTGGTGCCACCTAGAGTAGGAGATGAATAATTCAATTTCAGTTTACATGATGCATGTCTAGTGAAATCAACTGTTTTAAGGATATAACTTCTCAGCTGCAAAACATAAAAACCAGTTTGTTGTTTGGCCTTTGGCAAGTATATGTTCCCAGATATGTAAATGAATGAACATTTAAATATATCCACGGGCTTTGAATCTTATGTAGTACTTATAAAAGCATTGCTGGAGTAATTTAATTAATATGACTATGATATAATTACCTCCAAGTCATCCTCTACAATCACAGCAGAGGAATGAGAAAGGGTCTTGAACACTTGGCTGAGAGCCCAGTGGTAATGCCTGGAGATTTTATAGTAACCCTGAAACTTCTTGTGCTCTGGACGCACAGCGATATCTGACAAGTCCGGCTGTTTCAGATGAGTTACTTCATTTCCATAAGAACGAATCACCTCAGCAGTCTCGGCATGTCCACAGTCCTGACTCACTATGATTGGGTAAAGCTCTGCTGAAGGCCGGTGCTGCAGGAGTTTGTCCAAGCAACGCTTCACAGTGACCCTGTTACAGGCGATAACCAGGATAGGAATGACAGGCTGGGGTGGGACGATAACCTTCGACCTGTTTTTGTTTGATTTCTCCCATAGTGACCGATGATTCTTGATCTCAATCAGGATATTTTTCTGTACTTCAAGCTCTGCTTCAAACATGTCTGCCATTCGGAGCACATCTCCTACCACATCATTAGTAGGCCTCTCAGCCACTTCCCCCTGCCCTTGGCCAGGCTCGTCCAGCTGGCCAGGCGGGGGTCTGCCCCACAACAGAAGCACCAGTATGGCATTCCAGGTGATAAACAGGAACGTACCACAAAGAATGAGAGAACCTCTCTTGCGGAGCATGGCCCAGAAACTCAACGGGAGGGAGGGGGGTCAGCAGGACAGGGGTCTGAGCAGAATGATGTGTCCTTGTTACGGACAACAGGAACGGGATATGGGAAGGGCAACCTATGTGTTATCACAAGTGCATGATTAGAAATGTGGTATCACACCTTGGTGGCTTACTGGGCAGTAACTAAAGTTATAAGGACACAATACAGTGTCAGTGACGGTGAAAGCAGATGAAATATGGCGAAGGGCAGAACTCATCCTCGGGTAAAATTGTGTTTCTGGCAGATCCTGGGCTTTCAATATCTTGTTCCATCTGAAATAATAAAAACACATTTTACATTAAACAAATATTGCAGAGTCGCAATGAGTCTGTTGACCAAGAGAAAATTAACTAGCAATTGTTTAGATAATAGGATAGTTAATTAAGTAATTTGTTAAGTATAAATACCAAACTTTTTCTTGTTCCAACTGCCCAGAACCTGATGCTTTTCTTTGCCACGACAGAAAACAGACTGTTGGTCAGACAAAGCAAACATGTGAAGACGTAGCTAACAAGTATATTGAATATCAGTTATTTTCTCGACAGATCGTCAAAAACTGTGGAAAATGGCAACACTGCTTTACAGGAACTAATATCCTGATAAGCCTGGTTTTTCCTGGATCCAAAACCCAGTTCAGTCACAATAATATACGACTAAGGAAAAGCCGGAAATCCTTCCATTTAAAAAGCAGGAACTTGAGGATTTATAGCATTTTTCTGCAAGTTTTGCTTGAAAAACGACTGAAGCGATTACTTCACTATTAATATAGTTGCTGACTAATCGTTTCAGCCCTACGCCATGTGGAAACGATTAGGAAATATCCTGTCGATGAATCGGTAACGAACACGATGATTAAGCGCAGCCCCGAGGCTCTGCACTAAAGGTGCCAGCAAAGTGGAAATAAAACGATAGGATTTCACAAAATGAGACCAAGAAAATCTGGCGGCTTATTCCCAGTTTGCAGGAAGTTGCAGTGAACTGGAGTGATGATTCACATGACCGACTGATCGATTTTCTCTTATCACCTGTGGCTGCTTCGACAAACAAGCCAAAAAACGTACATTTGGGCTAAAAAACCAACTACACACGGCGGGTTTTAACCGAGCTCCCTGCAACTCGATAAACGGGCTCCGCTCGACAGCCTGTAAATACTGTGGCTTGAGGAGGAGCGTGGTGAAATTAGCCCTTACCCCGACAGACGGCGGGACCGCTTCTGCTCGTTTTGGCTTCCGTTTGTTCGATGACAACCTGCAAAATGACCTGACAGGAACCGCGAGCACGGTTGCATCCGGGTTTAACTGTACCCTCGTTAGTTTCCCAGGTATCAACTTAACCCCCCTTTAGTTTCCCCTGTTTCTCACCAGCCTGGAAGAGGAGGGGGAGAGAAAGTAACACGACGACTTCCTGGGTAGAGTCAGTGACGGGAAGTCCCGCCTCCGCTGTCACCCTGAAAAATGACACGGCTCTGACGTGCGCGCTGCTCTCTGCGGAGCTCATTAAAACTGCAGCCTTTCATGTTTTTGTGTATTTATCGTCTGCTTTCGCACAGTGGCCTCGACACATGAAAAGAGAGGAAGACAAAAAAAGTGGAGGACAGTTTCCTTCCTGAGAGCAAACATTCAAACTCAGCGAGGACGCTGTTTTTTCAGCATCTGATTCTTTGGTGGAAACTATCAATAGACAACAAATACAGATCATGATGGTCATGGGGTCAGCTTTAAAACCTCACGCTGACAGAAATGCTCTTTTAGCCTGATAAGGCTGATATTAAAACAGTTCATCAATTAAATAAATTCTACTTTTAAACAATCCTCTTACTACTGATGTCTTAAATTAAAAATTGAATTAGCGGATGGTTTGGCAACAAGACCTTATTCCAGTGAACAAAGAGATTTATCTAACATTTACAGTGCAACTTTTAAAGACAGTCGTTAATAGGTTTAACAGACAGTGGGACAAATGAATGCTTATAGGTTATGTCTGCAAACTGGGACTTGACATCTTCTTGACTACAGCTCATATTCAGAGTGCAGCATGTAGGAAGGATAAAAAACAATCTTGGTGGCTCAAAGCTGATCTGAGGGGTGGGTAGTGGGACATACCCCATTGCCTTCCCTACAGTTTGTACAGCTTGTTGATCTAGGTCTTGGCTTTAATAGTTAGGTTACCAAACCATGCTGCAACCCCATAGCCTAAGATAGACTTAGTAGTTGCTTTGTAAAGGTTCATCATACTATTCTGGGTAACACCAAAGTCCCTAAGACTGCAGAGGAAATGCAGAAATGTAAGAGTACAAGGGTGAACCAAACAGGAGCCAAATGTACAAAGATGCAGTATTAATTTGTTCTTAACAACACACTATATTCCATCTTTTAATCCAGTGAAATTCTTCACGGTTTACTATACTCGTGTCGGCTCCTGCTCCTCCATTGAGTTCAGTATAGCACTTGACCACTATACTATAAATCAGTTAAATTAATGCATGGATAACACTGAGATCTGAATAAATATTTTTGCCCTGTAGGTCTTAAAGCTAAAGTTATGTGTTCCTGCACTCAACCATAAAGTTAGACTTCTGCAAAAGAGGGTAAAGTGGGTAAGATAGTTGAGATGTTAAACTTTTATTCAATACCAAAGGGAACATTTATGCTACAGTTTTTGTTAAACAAAAGCTCAAAAATGAAATGCACTAGTTGTCAACACATGGCTTACTTTTCTCTAATAAAGGCAGTTTTTTTCTTATAATCCTGGGTTGAAGTCGAAATGTGCACTGTGAAAGTAAAAGTCAATAAATAAAGTTATATCACAGTGTGTATTTTTGTGCTGAGGCCTTGGACTCTCTCAGTCAGGTCTGTCCTCTGTGATCTTTTGTCCACAGCAGTTGTCCTGGGACGAGGTGAGCCCAGTGGGATTATGGATTTGTCCACTTCCCTGGAAAAAGGAAATTAATTTCATATAAATTATAGTAACTAACATAGTTTAAAGTATGTATTCCAACTGTAAATGTGTCCAGTTAAATATCACCTGCTGGGCATCTTTGTGAAGGTTTTTCTGTTGGTACAGATGGTGCGGCGCATCACCAGGGCTGCTGCTGGACCTCCACAACAGCATCATCTCTGACACCAGAGCCGTCAGAGATAAGCAGGTGTTCTTCAGTGTTGACCAGCCACTTAACAGAAAAGACGGTAAATGTCCTGCATTTTCCATCAGACACGTGGGCGTTAGGGACACTTTCAATGCGCCAGCTGGAGACCCACTACTTTGCTCAACAAATACTATTTTACACATGCGTACAGTACATGTTTTGAGTTTAATTATTTTAACTAATTTGGAGGATTTGTTTAATCCAGGCAGGTTAGACGTCAGTGTGTTCGCCAGCAGACGCACCAGCGCGTTTTGGACAGCTGAGTGTGCGTTTCCGGGGGACTGAGAAAGTTTCGGAAAATATAACTCATTCACTTTCCTGAAATCGTTTTCTCTCAGCATTTTACCACACACCCGGTGCGACTTATACGACACATTCAGTCTTCTTCCAAACACAACACGCTCTCCTTGAAGAAAAGCCTCCCACGATGACGCCTTCTGCCGCGTGCGCTCAGCTGGCGAGTTGCGCAGCGCCACGCCAGCCAGCCCGAGGCTGCAGGCCGAGGTGGCAGGCCGCTTAGTCGGTGGATTCATGGTCCAGATATTTCTCCGACACCGGAGAACAGCAGACAAGGCCGAAGCAGAGGGAGTGGAAGCCATAGCCTAGTGGTCGCGAACAGACCTTCTCCTTGGTTCAACCTCTATTCAAGCAGTCACATAACGCGTAAAGATTCATTTGCTTAAGGAGTGGATTACAGGAGGCGGGTGTCTTTGCTGGTCTTTTTCACCATACCATATTTGCCTCGATAGTCCTAGAGAGGGGGTCAGGAGGGTGTGTCTTTAGACACTGGTGGGAAAAGTAATAACACACTGTAAAATGCTGTTACAAGAAAAATCCCTGCATTCAACATTTAGTTTAAGTAAAAGTACAGAATAATTACCAGTCAAATGCACTTGAAGTAGGCTATTTGAAGTAAGAGTAAAAGTAAAATAATTCTGAGTGTTAAGGTATAATATAGACTCATCAAGCTATTATGTTGTTTTATTTGATTAATATTGGTGGATTAACATGTGGGCAGCATTTAAATGTTGTAGTTTGCCGAGAGGACTAACTGTTAAATAGTTACAAACTGATCAAATATGATCAAATTTATCTTAATCTCCAAAGTAAGCAGGAGCTCCAACTATCAAATGAATGTGTTAGGGTAAAAAGCATTTCTTCAAACTGTAGAGATAATGCAGATTCTCAAGTAAGTATCTGGAAATTGCACTGAAGCACAGGTCATAGCTACACCTGTATACTGAGAGCAGTGAGGGGTTTGAAAACCTCTAACCAAATCATGTATTACTCACATATTTGCTCAGTAATATCAAACTGACATTGTAAAGTGCTCCACCTCCATTTTAACCTGCTTTAATTTCCACAACATTCACACAGAAAATAAAACTTTAATCATTTTTTCTGATGTGTCTGCAAAAAGCAGAAGGCAACTAGCTAATCAACGTCACAACTAAGCAAAAACAAACCTATGTTTTATCTATACAGTTTTCATCACATCAGAATTTCTAAAACTTTCAAACTTCCAAACCATTGAACTTTCACCAAGACCAAAACGTTCTGTCATGTCTGCAGTGTTTATTGTGAACCTAGGTGGTTCATGTGTCGTGTAGTTTGCCCATCCCATATCAAAAAGTTGGATGGCACATCATGTATCCAGTGCCATTGTTATAGTTTGCGGCCGTGTTCTTTAACAGTGTGCCACTGTGTCCGAAAAAATGCCAGGAAGGTAAAAACACTAATGTTGTCAAACTGGTTCGACAGCCTCCAAGCAGAGAAACACAAATGGGGACAAAGCTGGAACTCAAGTCATTTTGTTAACTGCTCTGTGAAAGACAATATGTCTATTTTGACTATAGAGGAAGTGAAAGTAAGGAAAATAAAGTGGAATTCAGTAGGGCTATATTAATAAATCATAAAACAGTGACCGCTGTTTCATTTGAAATAGTTTAAAATTCCAGATTTGCTTGAAAACAACTTATGTAAATAAAATTGTCATGTGTTTTGGAAATATCGAACAATGTGTTTTTAGTGTCATAATAATTTTATTTGATGATACAATGAAGAATAAAGCCCAGTCTTATGAGGGGAAAGAGAAAATATATATATTCAAAACTTGTAAGAACCTGGTTACTGAGATCAACCTGATGCAATCAAATGATAGGGATGACTTTCTTATCACAGGGTTTAGTGCAATTCAGCATTTACAGCATATTTATGGTTATTTTTTGTTACACATATTTCTGGCTTTCACAGTAATTACAAGCTTGTTCAAAGAAAAACACAGGTTAAAAATATAATAATAACATCCGACTGTGCCAAGAATCTTCGTGTGCAACTTTAGGCCAGCTCGTCCTTTGTTTAAAAAAATGTTGCTGTCCTTGTTTTCCTTCATTTCTCTTTGCTGCCACTAAATGCAAACCAGTGCTTAGTTTTGCCATCACCCCCACTCCCAGGAGGAAAAAAGATGCCATAAGGATCACTGAGAATGACAAGTTTTTGTGTGATATTCTTTCCCTCCATTTTCGTCCCTCCCTGCTCCTTCAGTGCCCCCCTGAGTCTTCACTCCCTGAGGGGCTATGTGGCATTTGGTTTACAGGCTTCTTGTAAATCATCACACTTGGCATGATCACAAAGGCCAGAATCACCACCAACAGGAGCACCACAGTGATGGAGATGATGGATGCCACTACAGCGTAATAGCACCGGTCCGAGCGGAAGAGACTGCGCAAACGGCCTCTCATCCTGCTGGGAGGCCTGCCTACATTGATCACAGTGGTTGTGGCTATTTCCTGCTCCACTGCACCTGAGTGGAGGTCACCGCTTGCTGGCACCTGGCTGCCATGACTCTTTTTAGGCAGGGTAAGGGCCTTGAGCTTAGTTTGGCTGCCGGGAGGAGGGTTCTTCAGGAGCAGTTTGCCCTTGCTGCGGTGGAAGCGGATAGACAGTGCCCTCTGCATATCTTTTGGGAGTTTGCCTATGATGTCCTCATTGTTGCCCAGGCGGGGCAGGTCCTGGCCGTGGGGGAGCTCGGTCAAGTCGCGACACACAGGGCAGGACAGGGTTTTGAGCTCAGGAGAGGACACGTTGATGCGAGCAAGGCACTCCAGACAGAAGGTGTGCCCACATGCCAGTAGCTTTGGGGTCTTGAAGACGTTATCATATGAACAGAAGCACACAGCACATTCAGTTTCCTCCACATCATCTTCAGGGGCATTTGTGTTCTTCCAGTGGCACTCTCCCTCTCTTTTGTGGCGTCTCCGGGCCTCCTCACTCCTCCCACGCTGCCTCTTCTCTCTTGAGTATTGGTCTCGTTCTCTCCTTCTCCCTCTTTCCACCTTCTCTGAGTCAGTGCTCCTTGATCTCCTCACTTTCACAGGCTTTTCTTTGTTCCAGTAGTCTGCTTTGCAGTTTGTCTCTTTTTGACTGAGTTTGGGTTTGACATTGGGGGCCTGTATGGCTCCACGGCTCTGGCTCCCTTCGGGCCTAGGTCTCTCCCTTTCACCACTCATGTTGGTGGGATGATGTTAGGAGTAGCGTGACAACTGTTTCCCAACAGAAGCTGTGGAAGATTAAACTCAGGATAAGTTTACCGTTTCCTAAAAACCAGCAGTGCAGGAACATTTATCAGCATTTACCTGAATAGTTATCACTGCTGTGTCATGGTGATGAAGTAATCACATAATCTCTTATCAAACATCCCTGTTGTAGTACGACACTATCTGTTCATTTTTTTCATTTAGTCAATGTGCATGTGGTGCTTTTGACTTGATAATTACTAGCTGTGTTTGTTTAATAGGCTTTCCTGCATGGAACTTTCAGCAAACATGTCTGTAGTGAGAACTGCTTCAAACAGGTTATAGTTCCTAAGGATTTTACGATCCTGCTCTCTCAGTGGGTTGGGACCTGTAAAACTAAACCAAAGGTGACATTGGTCTGTGTCACAGCATTGTTTTGAAATGTCATAACACACATTTCATGACACCTGAACATCTCAGATAGTCAGTCATTAACTCTGAGGTTCCTCATCCACAGGAGGTCCACATATCATATTTTTAGTTGTTGATTTCTTCCCAAATCTGGTTTGACATTTAGGAGTTTAGTTAAAAAGAAGGTTTGACATTTTCAGCAAAGATCAGCACAGAAAAACCTGCCTGTCTTAAAACAAAGAGTAAGAAAGTAACCAAGTGGACTGGGTTTGTGCACACACTGACCTGCTGAGGCAGATGAATGTTGGATCACGTTGTCAGAGACGATCTGAAAAGCAGCACAATCCTTGTTTGAATCAGTGCAGTAGAACCCTGCATGTAACCGAACATCATTACTAATAAGGTGGGGGGGGGGACTAAAAGTGTCAAACTGGAACTTTCAGCAACACCTGCTCTCCTCTTCTGCTAGAGTCTTTCCTCTCATGTCTTGTCTTTTATGGTAACGCAGCACCTCCTCCTCTGAACCCTCCTCCTTACCTCTGTGTGCTGCTGCCTCCCACCCTCCCTTCTTGTCCTGTCGGACTGGTTGGACCAGCTGTACTGAGCCAGTGGGTTTTTGTTGTGTCTGAGTGTGGAATACGTAGATAAACCAGGATATTGATTTAGACAACTCACACCGCAGAGCCTACTGGTATCAAAATATGAGTTAGAGGCAGCTCTGTCAGTCACTACAGCTGAATAATCAATCAACTTAATTAATGCAATATCTGTCCACTGTTGTTTTAACTGAGTGTTCAATATCAGCTTTGGTATCAGTGGCACGAAGAGCCATATGGGCGAATGAATGGATTACTGAGTTTTTTTTCTTGCTCCGTGTTACCATTTGTGTGATATCAACCAAGAACAGCAGAAGCTGCATGAGAACACGGCTACAGTGCTGTCAACACTGCATGGATCAGTGCCTCATTCCTGTCATGCATCTGCCAGAAAAACAAGAAAGACCTAACATAGCCTAACCTTTGCTCACTGCACAGTCAGTTACACAAGTCTTTTTGAATATATGAGAATACACCCTGAATGGGAAAAACACAACTCATGGTGGCACACGTGATGGTCAGTGCTGATTTACATACTGAGAATTGCATATGAACTGCATTACAAACATTTTGATTTGTCAGACTGCTCTTGATGAAAAGGATAATCACCTTTATTTCGCCAAGTATGTTACACACACAAAGAATTTGTTTCTGGTACAAAACTGAGGCAGCCATCTGCAGTGCCAACTAGAGTTGTTTTTGGCGGCCTGTTTTCATTTTAGTTTTATTCTAGTCTTTGTGTGAAGCTGTCATTTTAGTTTTTATTAGTTTTAGTTACGTTCATACTCTTTTTAGTCTAGTCTAGTTTTAGTCGACGAAAACTGATGACATTTTAGTCTAGTTTTAGTCAATGAAAATTGTATTTTAGTCTCTTTTTAGTAATGCAATTCTATTTAACCCAGTCAATATAGTATAAGTACCTAGTAGTATAGAGGAAACCAAAAGTTTCTTTTAGCCAAACCCATTTCAAACAAGGTTATCTTATTATATTATTGTTACTTTATAGACTCAAGGATACATCCAATACACATTTTGTGTGATTTTGTTGCCACATTTCTCCCCATCTTTTTCCACAACACATTGTTTTCTTTTCCGCTTCTATGTAATGAAAGTTTTTCCAAATGTCGTTTCTTCTTTTTCTCCCAATGACGAACCCCGGCTGGCCGGCCATCGATCCCTTTCTCTGTGTCAGACTCAACTTTGTTTGTTGTCGTCTTCTAACTAATGCCGCGAGTGGGGCTTAAGGAAGTGACGTCACCTGTGTCTGCGCAGTGCGACCTGATGCGGCGAGACACAGGAATGAAAATCACCCTAACAATAGAAATACTGGGGGGTTCAGTGCCTTGCCCAAGGACACTTTGACATGTAGACTACAGGCACCTCCAGCCCTCCGGTTAGGAGATGACTGCTCTACCCACTGAACCAGTCGCCCCCCAAGTCAGAAGTCGTGTTCTTATGAAGGATTCATGTGGCGTAACTACTGGAGGTATTCAAAAATAGAAAAATGCCACATTGATAAAAATATTTAAAGAACATTTTTACTCCAGGCTCAAACAGTTGGTCTTGTTGTAGTACAACTTCACCAGCAGGCTTGGAATTCATTCAAATAAGGCACCTAAATACGTAAGTTGTTGCACAATAGGGAACTTCCTGGTGCACTAAAAACCAAAACATTTTTACAAGCAGTCAGTCCAAACCAAGTGAAATATGTCTTTTGTTTGGCAAGGAAATAATGCAAGCCAAAAACTTTACTGGTTGGAAAACTTTACTGCCTTAGAAAAATGAAATTTAAACCAGATAAAGAGTTCAAAAGGATTTGAAAACAACAGTCTCTGAGCTGAAAAATCCACCCAGTTGATGCAGGGAACTGAAATCCAAGTGTGGAAACGTTTGTGGCCCAGCTGACGTGGCTGGTTTATGATTAAACCAGTCAGCAAGTTTGTGAACCACTTCTCCTAAAACCTTTTCTCTGCTCCATGTGTTTGGCTTCTGTGTGTGGTCAAATCTGGTTCATATTCACTATGATAAAGTCCATGCACACTGCCAAAAACACCATATCAAGATAAAGCAGAGCACTATTTCCCAATATGTGATAACAACAGAGCTGTTCATAAACCAAAAAACTAAATTTCCTCTTTATTTTTATGCATTTGAAAAACCTTTTCCTAACGGTTACCCAGACAGAGGACAGGGAGCATACCCCTGTGCTTTCTTTTTTTTTTTGTGCCACTGGTCCCATGAGCCTTTATCGCCACATCAGCCCAGCTCCTCTTTTGTTTTGCCCTGCTTGCGGGGCATCTTCTTGTTGCTGCTGTCCTCCAGCTCTTTGCTCTTGTAGTAGTGAGGAGCCACTTCAAGCAGCCAGCTGCTCTCTATCTCAATCACCTGCAGTGCAACATCAGCAGACGGAGGGAAACAGTTAAATTAGGGCTGCACGATTAATCGTTTTGTGAGCGTGATGTAGATACCTGTGTGATCTCAGTCTCACGTGACAATGATTCTGCTGTATTTGCATTAGAGATGCCTTGCATCAAACCAAGCACTCCCTTTTCCTTGCTAAGCTGCATTAACCAATAAGCGGAATGCATTACATCATGTGATGAGCTGTAAACAGGAAGAAAAGACTGATTCAAAAACAAATCCAACATGTTTGATATTGTAAAAGATATCCTTTGATGTCCTGCAACTATTTTTCAAACTGTGCAATGCCTGCCCTGTACACCTAGTGACACATAGCAGTTGAGGCAGAAATAAATCACTTTGCAGTTATTGGTTAACACAGCTTAGCGAGGAAAAGGGAGTGCTTGGTTTGATGCAAAAAATGGCAGAATCATTGTCAAGTGAGACTGAGATTGCACAGGGATCTATATCATGCTCACAAAATGATTAACCATGCAGCCATAAGTTAAATAGTGTACAAGAACCCTTGTCACACTTCCTCATTAACCGCTCACAAGCGGTTATTTCTTGGAAACTAGAGTTATTGAGAAGTATGTATGAGAAGTATTTGCATTTTAAACAATATATGTGTGTTTACTGATTGACTTCCACATTAGCAGACACGCCTCTGAAAAACAGACAACTGTTACGCATCATCTCCTATAAATGTACTTTAAATATTTGAGAAAGAGATTTAGAGGACTATTTAAAGGTAAACAGTGTCCCATCCCGAGCAGACCAACCTGTCTCATGAACTCTTTGGTGGTGAAGACCAGCTCGTGGTAGATGAGCCAGCGGGGCTGCTCCTCGAACAGAGAGCTGTTGGGGTGGACGTAGACCGTCTGCTGGTGCTTCACTGTCTTGTAGCCACCTTTGCTCAGTCGTGCTGTGTGATAGAAATATCCTGCTGTCACTGCCTGAGAAGAGGAAAAGACAGAAATGGGGAAGAGGAGTTTATTAACAGCTGATTAATCGCCATGTTGAACAGAAATCAAAGTGCGTGTGTGGAATAAAAACCAAATTATACTGTAAATTTATGTCCCTTACTGATCCCTATATATGATTACTTCAGAGAGATCAAAGGTCACAGCCAGACACTAAATAAAAACACTGCGATGTGCTTGGAGCAGATACTGTAACAATGACTGTTGTTTTAACACCCAAACTATTTACACCTACTGCAACCCAGGCCAGGTAGTGTTGGGTGTGTTCACAAAACTAATGCCTCAAGTGACAGTCATGGGGTTTGGAAAAGTACACAAACTTCTGTATGCCATTTCCACTTAAACATTTCAAAATGGCAAATTCCCTTTATGTTTGACGTCAGTGCACCCTGGCTTAAAACAAGCACTGCACAGAATGCCACTAAAGCCACTTCACAAATAAAAACTCTACAACTCATAAAATGTCAGCAAAGTGTCCAATATAAGCAACAAGACCTGCTTTCTTTTGATTCTAATAATTAACTATGCATGGTTTAATTACTGATCGAACTTTGTATTCATAATATGAAATATGGTATGGGATTGCTTTTGCCATTTGGTTGTAGGATTTGGCACAGATTTAACACAAAACCAATGTGTAACAGGAAAAGGTGCAACCCAGCTAAAAAGAACAAACGCCCTTTCTTATCTCAAGTGGTTTAGGGGTGCGTGCACAGCACACACAGACCCTGATATGAGAAGGTCAATCACCCAGCCTGTGTTCAGTGATGAGTTACAGGTTTACTCTTACGCTTTCGAAACTTTTGAAACTATATACTTTTGCTACTATCTTGTGGTGGGAAGCATCCATTTGCCTGGTGTTCTTGAGTGAATACATGGGTGGTATCTGACAGTAACCCTTCACCTGCCTATGAAGACATGAGGCTAAAACATGATATTCAACTTGTCGAAGTGCTGCCCTCCACTGGGTCAGGTTTCAAATGCTTGCATCTTGAGTTGTTTGGCATAAATCAGTTTTAAGAAGCAGTAAATATCAAATCACATAGTGTTCTGTGTTTGTTTTAGAAAACAATCATTTTGATATTTTCTGTGGGTTTTGAATGCAACAGATTTAGTTCTGCAGTGCTTTCATTTCTGCATTTCACTATTGCTGCAGATGCTCTGATTTCCCACCTCTCAGTCAGTTACAGCACCTTTGGAACAGACCTGTGAATGCGCCAAAACAGTCTCGCAGCTAAAATCTTTAATAAGAATATTTTTGCATGGGCCCCTTAGGATTAGTGAGGTGAAATCTTTATTCTACACCAGTGACTCATTTTTAATTTAATACAGTTTTTATTTTTTCCAAACAGACTACAGCTATTCAACTCCTGATGCTCAGGGCAAATTGTTCCTGATGTTCAAAGAGACAAATGGCTGTTATAGTCTGGTACAAACCTAAATTGAGAGCATATTGTCTGATGAAAAACAACTACAGCAGAGCACCTTATGTGAAGCAGAATATGGTCAAAGGTTCACAGATCTCTGTGCACGATTACACTCAGTTTATTACCACTAGCTAGAGACAGGCGGGTTTACTGATCTCTCTGACAATTGTGTATTTGCCACGTGACTATGGTGAGAGTAAAGAAAGTCCACTAAGTTTTATTGCTCATTATACAATGAGTTAAGAGAAGAAATCTTTAGCAAAATGTCCTTTGTTCCTGAGTTCTTCTGGATCAATGATTATAAGAAACCTGAGCTGCGTTTCAGAAAGGGAACCTTCTGTGAGGTTGATCATATTTGTTGGCAGTGGGACTGGACACAAAGTTAGCTGTTGGCAACTAAACCAAAGTTGAGATGCCATGTTTTTGTCAGGAAGCTGTGGATGACTTTCTCAGTGCCACTAACCTTGCGGATGGGCACACTGTCTCCCTGGCAGCTGACCACCTCCACCTCTATGCGTTCCATCAGACCCTCCAGCTGCTCTCTGACGTCCCGGGCTCTTCTCATGGAGCGGAACTGGATGAAATTCTCATAGCACCACTGTGTGGAGTAGCCGCTCTCCAGCCACTGAGAGAGAGAGACATTGTGACTGCAGGTCATACAGCAACTGGGTTCTAGTTGGGAATGGGCTCTTCAGGGCTCTTTTGCACCCACAATCAATATCTGTAAATCAGTGGTTCCTAACGTGGAGACTGGATCACATAAGGGGATGCGAGATAAATCTCAGGGTTTACAATACAGTATATATAACAGAAGATGAAAGCAGGAAACCATATCTGCGCATATTTTTCAGTCTAATCTTTTTTTATTTAAACATGCTAAGGATGGCAATGTTGGTCTGGGGGTAAAAATTCACTCTGAATGGTGATGAAAAGACAAAAAAGAAGGGGAACTGCTGTAAAATACTGCATGAAATAATGTTGAAAATAAGTTATAGGCTACAAACTGTTTAAATGTAGTTGATTACCACTGAGCAGGAAACAGATGTCTGAAACCAGTAGCAGGAAACTTGTTTAATGGTGCATACACCACATATTTGTGTAACGGGCCACAGAAAATCAGAGAATTTGGTTATTTGTTCCATGCTAGGGCCAGATGCTAAACATGAACACTAATGCAGTTCAGAAGGGTAACAAAGCAATACTGTAAATCCTGCCTGACAGTGCTGCATTCAGTACTGGCACTGTGTCAGAAAGACAACTCTAACACAACTCCAGCATTGTCCAATATCCAGTCCTCATCAAGTATGTAAATATGTAAATACACAAAATACTGCATTAGAAAGACTGTTTAATAAAATGCAGGAAAATGTCAGCATTTACTTATGGCCTCAAAGATTCACGCAGAACCGAATGAACACCTCTCTCATGCAGGTTTCTTGGACTGGACTACCTCAGACTCCAAATTTGTATTTTGAAAACATGGTACTTCAGCCATGGCTGCTGTTATCCAGCTGTGTTTATACCTGTGTGTAGACGTTGAGCAGCACCAGGTGGTCTCCCCCTGGCACCACAAAGTTCATCCTTGTGTTATCAGCGTGCACCACCTTGTCTTTGGGCCGGTAGAAAATGGAGTTGTTTACCGACAGCATGGCTGCTATCGTCAACACTTCCTCTGAGCACTTGTACCTGGTGAGAGGTGGACAAGGAAAATCAAATAGATTTCTTTCTGAACTCCCACGGCATGTTCACTGAATAAATAATATACATTTTCCATTTCTCCCAGCTCACATGCTGGGTACATGTTTTTCTGGTACCAAGAAGAAGCAGTATACCAGCTCAAATCTGAGCACAAACAGACTTCCTTTAATCTTGCGAACTGCTTTCTCCCTTACAGACCCAACAACAGTCTTGTCATGCTTGAAAAATTGATGTTCAAACTCATATTTACAATAAGTGCCTTGTCCAGTGCCCATTTTGCTGTTTATCCCATTTAAATCTTCATTTAGCTTCTCTGTTATTGTCTATATTGATTAACCTATTCCATAACCAGGTGAAACAAATCTTCCACCAAACCGCACAGGTTTCCCATCACATGGTGCCTGTTCTTCCTCTGGAGGGCTGATTATGAATAGCTTTACTACTGGAGTAACTTCCATGATCCCAAACCCCAGCTGCACAATCAAAGAACCAGACAAACATAAGCCTTGGAGAGTTTGGAAAGAAAATCAATGCCTCTATCTGATTTAATGGATTTTATACTTTGTGCAGTATTTAGGCAAATGGTTTGTCCTGTAAAATGAATGGAATGCTTAAGTTGACTTACTGTTCTGAGGCCAGGATCATCTTGCTCAGCATGGGGTCCACTGGTAGCTCGGCCATCCTGCGACCAAGCTGACAAGCAAGAACAAACTGTTATTTATTCATTTAATAAACAAGTAAAAACTAGAACAGGTTACCAGTAACCAATAATGCAATTGTCCAGACTCACTGAAAGACGGGGTGCTTGATAACCACTGATTAACAAGACCAGCCTTGTAAAAATGCTCTAGGTTTTAAATGCCATGAGTCATCTCTTCCATTACTATCATCACATTTGATCAAGGAAGTAACTGCTCAGTGCTGGAATCCATGACAAAAATAAAATGCCTCACATATGTACAGTAAACAGAGCAGTACACATACAAATATCCAGGCGAATAGAGGGGAAACAGACACATTACACACATCAAAACAAAAACATATGTATCTTTTTTTTCTGTGATTAAAGTTAAGAATGCAAAAAAAAAAAAGTTTCTTCTGTTGTAGATTTGACTCTGGAAAGGGAATAGTGTTGGTGGAATAATTAATATTTATTAGTAAATCACTGTTTAAAATATTCATAACACCCCACCTCCCTCTTCTGGGTCTCCACTAACCCCTGAGGTAAAAATGTGCCTTTTCAGACACTAAATGCTCCACTCTGCCCACCAGCTAGTCTCTAACTGTGTCTGCTGTTTAGTGATGAGCAGGAAGCATACAGTGGGTTCTCTGAAAACAGCTGAAAATGACATGAAAGTGAACCAAAACAGTGAAGGTGCAGGCCAGACAGCTTAACAATGAGCACAGACTCCCTGTAAAGCCCCTTAAAACCAAAAGGAGCTGGTGACTGAGATGGTCATCACCATCATTTGATACATGGTTGGTATAAAAATATTGATTATAGCTGCTTTAAACCTAAGGAGAGGTTTGGTAAACATGGCCCCTGAGTTTGTACCTTGGTGAGCTCTCCTAGATGGTTGAGTGCTCCCAGGGCATAGAGCTGCTCCAGCGCCAGGACCAGAGTCTCATGAGGAGGTGGGTCCATGAAGTCAAAGTGAATGAGGTCATTGATGCCTGCAACCAGGAAGTTATTTCACAGTCAAGGAGAGTATGTGAAGTGTATGAAATGGCATCATTCATTCATCATTATATCGTCACCTAGACTCTTTAGCAGCAGGACGACATTTCCCAAGTTGGTTCTCTGAATCTCAGGGACAGTCGTTTCCTCCATTTCATGTTGAAAGGCCCAGGCTGTGTAAAGCCTGAAACATTTCCCAGCAGCCACTCTGCCTGCACGGCCTGCTCTCTGGTTAGCTGAAGCCTGAGAGCGCAATAGATACTCATGAGTTGGCAAAACCTTTAGAACCTAACAGACGCTAACAATACACACACAGATTTCAACAAGATCTGCATCGATAAAAAGACACGCTTTGACATATGATATATTGACCTTTGTGTATTTCAGCAACAAGGAAGTACTTTGTATTTTGTCATGTCTACAGTGGAAATGAGAATGTGCTGCACTGTGTAAACTGACACGTTCCCCATCTGAATATCTTGAGCCTACATTTCACTTCAGACAGAACTGGAAGAAAATGAGACTTCCTTCTAAAATGGTTTGTCAAACATTGACTGCTATTTATGTACCAGCATTAATTACATCAGTTCTCGCACACAGCTCTAGGATCAGTCTTGGTGACTGTGTTTAACAATGTGACCTCAGAAAACTTCTGAATATGCCAGAAGATTTCTGAATGTGACCCTTCAACATGTGTGCTAATAATATAATTCTTCATCTAAGACACAGTCACAGTTAAACTATTACACATAGTTCAGTTTTCCATGACATGGCCTTAAGCTTGCCAAGTTAATAATAAGGTAATTAATGCCAAACATAACTGTGCACCCAAGTTTGTCTTGTTCCATCTGATATCTCCAGTGGATGTGGTATTATCAGGCCATATGACCCCCTCATTAATGTGGACATGTCTTCTCAACTTTGAGAGGAGTTTAAAAGGCTGTGTGAGCCAGTCAGGACTGCAGCATTTTACTTGTATAGCAACTGGAAACTAAAATACAAAACTGGAACAAATGAAAAGGAAGCATAAGGTCAATATCACAGCTTGTAGCCTGCACCATCAGTTCACTTTAACATTAATGCTTGTTAGTCATTAAGAAAAACAGCAAGCAATTACCCGTGAGCAGGGAGTGACTATGAGTGACTCCATCCCAGTGCGGGCGTTGTAACTCTTCTGTTTGCAGAAGCCTGGGTCAATGACGTAGATGATGCCATCTATGGTCAGTGATGTTTCTGCTATATTAGTAGCCACAACCACCTTGTTTTGACAGAACGACAAAATGTACAATGCCAAGAGCTAAAGTGAGTATCAAGAGCTCCAGTATCAAAGCCAGATGAGGATTAAATCCAGTTGTTATACAACGGCAACAAAGATGTAAGAAATCTTTAAACCAAGAACATTCCTGTTAAAATCTGTAACAAAAACAAATAAATAAGCAAATAAAACAAAAACTAAGTTCTTCTACCGAATGTTGTTATACTACAGCAGCCTCTGTTGGTGAATAATAGCATGGACATTTAATCTGGGTAAATACAAGGAAGCTCTTATTACACAACACAAAGTAAACAGATAATACACCTATTGTCTTCATTTACTGGATGTGTGTAAAACAAGTAACCCCATTTAGTGCCTGCCAAGTATTGCCAATATTAATAATACTACATCAAGGCAATTGTATAAAGTAACAGTAAAGGTGTTCCAAATATTTTCCAAGTATCTGGAGCAGCTGTGGCTCAGGAGGTAGAGTGGGTCCTCTCCTAACCGGAAGGTTGGCAGCTCAATTCCCAGCTTCGCCAGTGCAAATGGGTAAATAGTGTTAAAGTGCTTTGAGTTTACTGCATTGCATAAAGAATGCTATACATGTCCATTTATCATTCTGAAAAGAAATTAGACATCATCTGACCTTACGAGCCCCAGGTGGAGTGGGGTTGAAGATCTTTGCCTGCATGTCAGAGGGCAGATTGGCGTATATAGGAAGAACCAACAGCTCTGCTATTTTAGATCCAAGCCGCCTGCATCTCTCCTGGAGCAGCTCGCAACATGCTTCGATCTCCTCCTGCCAGACACACATGGGCAATGAGCTTAAAGACCAAATCAAGACCAAAGGTCAAGGATACTAACTCTGAGGTGTGTAAATTGATGCATCCAAAATCAATACGCACACATTACACACAAAAGGAGGAGAAGGAGTCCAACAATCTGTCATTACAACTGTATCCAAACTTTGTAACCTATTTGCAAAATCTCAAAGAATCCCATGTTTGATATACTTGATATAATACCTGGCCAGTGAGGAAGACCAGGATGTCTCCTGGTGACTGGGTGACATGAATCTGCAGGACTGACACCACACATGCTTCGAGGTAGTCTGCCTCTGGAGCCTGGACAACACAACATACATATACTTGGATCAGGGGACTGGTACAGAACAGTATCAGTTTTGGTGGCATGAGGTGTCAAGACTCATTCAAAATGCTGTGGGTCTGGTGGCCCACACAGGAGCTGTAAACCCATCTCTAGCTCAAGGATGATGCACTAACTAAAATTTTATTTATTGTTCCCTTTTATAAAAATATTTCCATAAATGACAGAGAAAACAGAAAATGTTTCGGAGTAATGTTTTGTTTAAAGTAGTCAGGAAAAAAGACCGTGTTCTTATATTTGTCCTTTTTCCCCATCAAGCAACAAAAAATGTATCACTTAAAAAATAGAATATATACTGTATAAAGCAAATAGCATGCTAGTTCCTACTTTGGTGTAGAAGATGTCGACAGGGAACCTCCTGCCAGGGATCCTGAAGACAGGTGCGTCGTCGAAGAACCGGGAGAAGTGCTCAGTATCCAGAGTGGCGCTGGCCACCAGAACCTTCAGGTCTGGTCTGAACCTGGCGATGTCCTTAATCAGACCAAACAGGATGTCCGTGTGGAGAGTTCGCTCGTGGGCCTCATCTATGATTATCACACTAGTGGGAGACAGAGAAAGGAGGGGTAAAGGGGATGACTGAGTCTAACACATATTCATTTGAAATGTGAAACTGCAGAGGAAAAATGTGGGATGTAGCAATGTTGAGTTTAATATCACAGCAGTCTAAATACTGCAGTTTTAGCCACAAAATAGAAACAAGCTCCCCACAGATCTTTAAACAGCAGCTATGAAGGAAGTCATGCTGCAGAACTGCTCACAGACCAAAATTTCAAAACTGCCAGGACCTGTCAATCATCCAGGTAATCAAATGACAACTGATCTTGCAGAAATTTAGCCAGATTCTAAAACTACTGGAGGCAACAAAAATCTACTTTAGTCCGTACAGTGTCTGCTGAGCTTGAATACAACTCCTTGGCAACTCCACTCTTTTCATTACCTGTAGCTGGCCAGGTCAGGCTCAGTGAGAAACTCTCGGAGCAACATGCCATCTGTCATGTACTTGAGCACTGTTCTCTCTGATGTGCAGTCCTCAAAACGAATACTATAACCCACCTGGATAAAGGAATAAAAGTTATCATGAAAACATGGATTTGAGATTTTTTCTACCGCTTCAATTTGTTTTAAGAAAGTCAATAATGTTCTGTAATAAAATAAAGACAGAAAAAAAGTTAAATACTGGACATCAGCAGTACACAATAACGTGAACTACAGCATAATACAGAATTCAATGTTGTACAGGTCTCAGCGTGCATCCTTTAGCTCCATCTAGACCTGATAAATCCTGCAAGCAGGTCTCACTGCTGTTATATATGCATATTAAATGAAAATTAACTGGGATCATGCGTCCATCTCACCTCATTACCAAGCTTCACACTCATTTCCTCTGCTACTCTGGCTGCCACTGACATGTGCCACTCTGCGAGGCTGCGTACATCCAATCTTCATGCCTGCTTCAGTGTAGCCCTGAGAGAGGAACAGGAGGTTGAAGGGTAGATTCATTTTTCCCAGTTACCACTCTGTCCAAAGACAACAAAATCCACCTCATGACACTCACATCTTCCAGGAGATACTGTGGGATCTGAGTGGTCTTTCCAGAGCCTGTCTCCCCCTCAATGATGAGTATCTGGTGCTCATGGATGGCAGCTAGCAGGTCGTCTCTGTAAGGGAAGATGGGCAGACTGCGTCGGACCTCCAGCATGGACTGCTTCTTCAGCTCTGCCTGCGACAGAGCTGGGGTCTCCTGATCCTGAGCACATCAAGGGCAGAAGAAAAGGCCACTTCAGCATATTGAAGCAATACTTTTTCACTAGATTCTATTATTTACAGATATATAATGAGTAAAAGGAAATTAGTCTCTCTCTTTTTTCCCCAACAGACATATCAGCTGTGGTGAAATGTACCTTCATGCACAGATGAGGGACGGGCTACAGAGATCTGACAAGATCCCATCTTTATAACCCCAAACACACAGATTTAAAACATTTTTCTAACTTCAGCATCAACTGACTCAGACTCAAGTGACATCACCTGAGGCAATTTATCAAACTTTGTGCAGATCCCTCTAATTAACAATAGCTGAATTGTTTTTATCAGTTGTCATTACTGGGAGAATGAAATTAAAACTGAGACACAAATAATAAAGAAGAGGTGGAAAGCACCAAATGAACCCCACCTTTTCTGTCCGGGTTCCCTTCATGGTAATGGCAGTGCTGACAAAGTCAATCATCTCATCCTCCTCCAGGATGAGCTGGTATTTCTCCAGCTCCTGCCTCATCCCTTGTTCTCGCTCCTTCTTGGCCCCGAAGCTAAGTGAGGCCGTCTTCAGTCTCTCCTCCTCCCAGCGGCCTTGCTCTCCTCCCAGCTCCATGGGTGTTTCCTCTAGCTCCAGGTCTCTCTGAGGCACCTCCTGTCCAGCAGTGGGAGAGAGGGATGGGGGGGATTGAAGATATGTACACTTTAGTAGGTCACTGTTTATGCTCACTGTGTCAGTATGTGGCACCCCTCCTTGCTCCTACCTTGCTTCTCTTTTCCTCTGGCATATAGTACCTGTTCTTCCTCTCCTCATGTTCCTTGGCACCAGCCTTTTTGTAATCTTTAGCCAGGTCCCAAAGGGTGTGTTTGTATTCCAGCTCCTTCTTCTCCCTCTCAGACAGCTCATCTGTAGAGAAAAGGTACTCCTCATCAATGATCTCTGCCTCCAGGTCTTCCAGCTTCTCTGCCTCTCTCTTCTTTAGAT